TAGAAAAGTACTGACTTATTTCATACTTGAATAAAGCTAGTGTTTAACCCAAAAATAGATATTGAGTTTTAATATTGTCCATGTTCCTTCCAATAAAGGGATGGGCCAGATTGCGAAAAAATTGGGTCGGATTTTGGATCATGTTTCAAAATTTACTTCCGTTAGTGTTTCGTGTCGAAAAAAGTCAGGGTTCCGGTTATCGTCTTTTATATAACCCTGCCCACCCCTGATCCATACCACCTGCTAATTTCTGAATAAAATTAACGAAAATTTAACACAATTTCTTTACAAAATAAAGGCTTCTTATGATTTTGTATTCTCACTTTTGGCGTTAATCGTTTGTTTGTAGCTCGAAGCCTAATTATTGGACCTCAATTAATGACAATGTTTCAATGCTTCTGTTTCACTTCCCCATTTCTTTTACTTTTTGCTTCTTCTTTTGTTTTAATGGCTGCTATTGCTATAGACGGTCATACGACCAGTGATGTCAAAGTTCCAGTTCCAGTTCCGGAACTAATTAGTTCTAGTTCCAGTTCCGGAACTAGAACTACGGAACTAACGATTATCTGGAACTAGTTGGAACTAGAACTACGGAACTAGTAAATGCCTGGAACTAGCTTGGAACTGGAACTAAGGAACTAGTAAATGTCTGGAACTAGCTTTGGAACTAGTTCTGGAACTAGTTCTTGGGGGTATATTTTTGACAAAATTTACTCGAAAATTACCTGCAGCGCGCGGAGTATGGAAGAAATCTGGCTGCTTGAGCTCCAAAATTCTAAAAATTTTCGCCTGCGGCGCTGAAAAAGTGAATTTTTTCGGCCTACGACCTCAGAAATTCTCAAAATTTTCGCCTGCGGCACTTCAAAAGTGAATTTTTTCGGCCTATGACCTCAGAAATTCTCAAAATTTTCGCCTGCGGCACTTCAAAAGTGAATTTTTTCGGTCTACGACCTCAGAAATTCTCAAAATTTTCGCCTGCGGCGCTTAAAAAGTGGATTTTTCCGGCCTCTTAATCCTCCAGTTTATCCTGCAATCTCCTAAAATCCTCCGTTATCACTCATAATCCTCTTATAACCCAGATATTACCAAAAATATCCCCAGATATCTTTTTAAATCCATTAATTCCTTCACATCCTCTGATCTCCCCGTTAAAATTTTTATGTGAAAATACCGAAATTTTGCGGGATCCCGCTAAATTTTAGAACGGGATTATCGGGATTACGGGATTAATCCCGCGGCATCCTGTCCCGTAAAAAATTTCGAAAAAAATCCCGTTACGGGATCCCGTGAAACGATTTTGCCGCACACTAAATGATTTTTTAAATTCGAGTGTCAAGTGTTCCGTGCGGGAACACTTGACGAGTGTCAAGTGTTCCGTGCGGGCATCCGTGCGTGCGTCCGTGTCAAGTGCACCCTCCTACAATGACATCAGTGTCAAGTTTGAGTGTTTTAACTTTCAAAAAATCTTGAAAAGCACTTGACACTCAACACTAGAGAGTACATGGTGCAGACTGCATGAGAAACCACTCGACACTCGACACGGACGACTATCACTTGTTGAGTGTCGATTAGTACGTATCCTTCCTACATTGAAATAAAAAAGGCACGGACCAAAACACTTGACACTCAACGCTCGACACTGATCAATTGTGGGAGTAGTTTTATGCCTTTATTTGTTAAAATTGATAAATTCTTTCATATTCAAAAATTTAAAAATTTGGAACTAGAACTAGCTTGGAACTAGTTCCAGAACTGGAACTGGAACTAAAGAAATTAAAAACCTGGTTCCGGAACTGGAACTAGTTCCAGAGAAATTTTGGAACTTTGACATCACTGCATACGACACTTGCAGATATGACATTTGCAGACCCGACATTTGCAGACGACATTTGCAGATCCGACTTTTGCCAAAATCACGTTCCACCAACCCACGTTAAATCCTTTAATAAAAAACCAACAGACAAGCTTTAAAAAATTATTTAAATTTATTTGTAATTGTATTTATGAGGTTCATACTGATACTTGAGCTGTTAAGAAGCTTGAGGACAGGAACTCTGGTAGTAGAAAAAATGTTGAGTTATGTTTCTGGTTTTCGAGAATTTCTCTAAACGTTTTCGGATATCAAGTTAAACCGGGTATAAGCCCACGTGCTTGTAAGCATATTTTTATTCCCTAAAATTCACTTTCCAATCGAAAGCGAATTCAGCCGGACACTTCTCTAAAATAGCTCAAAATTTTTATTTTTCGTAGATTTTTAATTTATTTAAATGAATAAAGTTTTTGGAATAACCAAAGTATGTCTGGCTATTACCAGCATTTTCCTTAATTCAAGTGTAATATATATAACAATACGATCTAAATGGCTTCATATGCCTTGCAATATTCTTTTGGTTTGCTTTTTAATTTTCTCTCAATTTTTCATTTCCCACAATTTTTAAAAATAAAGTTAATTATTTAATTAATATAATTTAAAATTATTTCATTTTTATATAAATTTCACGATTAAAATAATTATTGTATTAGTGTTTCGGAATTCATAGTATTTTTGGAAGTTAAAGCTTGCTTTAGCTAAATTTAATTTCTATAAGAGAAAACTTATCCATTTTGTTTTTTATATATAGCTATTAGTAACTATTTAAAATTGCATAATACCTAACATAAATGTTGGAAAAAAGTCAAGTTTCAGGTTCGGATCAAAAAAGTTCGAATCTCGGTTCATAACGAATTTAGCCATAACAATTATTTTAATCGTAGTTTTTCCTGTTTCCTCTGTGGATTATATTTTTGGGTTTTGTTTTTGGGTGGTTTTTGGTTTTAATATATTTTTTTTTGGCTTGCTTTGACAAAAAGTTATTTTAAATTCAATAGATCGAGTCGATCACAAATTTAGATAATATGTCAGTACTAATTTGATCCTAAAATGAGGGAGTTGGTAGTTAGCTCAATGCTTTCTAAATCTACCTTAATTGCCAACTAGATTTACATGGCATCCAAAAAATTACAAACCGAAAATTCGCTGGAACATTGACTTATTCTATACTTGAATAAAGCTATTGTTTAACCCAAAAATAGATATTGTGTTTTAATATTGTCCATGTTGCTTCTAATATTTAATCCATATAAGGGATGGTTGGACCGGGTTATTCAAAATCTACAAATTTCTGAATAAAATTAACGAAAATTTAACACAATTTCTTTACTATTAAAGGCTTCCTACGAATTTTGTATTCTCACTTTCGGTGTTAATCGTTTGTTTGTAGCTCGAAGCCTAATTATTGGACCTCAATCAATGACAATGTTTCAATGCTTCTGTTTCACTTCCCCATTCCTTTTACTTTTTGCTTCTTCTTTTGTTTTAATGGCTGCTATTGCTATAGACAGGCTTATTTCTGTTGTTCTACCTATCACGTAAAATTTTTTGATGTTTAAAATTTTTGTCTCTTGCTTAGCTTTAAGATGAAGATTTGGGAATCTTGTGGAGGTTTATGAGTCTATAGAGTCTATTTATTGTACTTTTAAAATCTATTAAATTTTTATCGAACCTGGACATTCGAGTCTTTTTCTGGCCAAAATTCGAGACCCGGTTCGATCTTTCAAACGAACCGAACCGGTCCCCTGTTAGGTTGGCGCGCTTAGTATAAAAGGCACAGCCTTTTAGTAGTGGTGTGTTAGTCTTGTGTGAGTCCGAGTCAGTCTAGTGTTAGTCCATAGTCAAGCTACGTTCTACTCCAGCGCATAGTCTCGCCTTTTCTATTGTATTGTTAACCTTGTGATAAACCTTGTTGGTGAGCTAGTTAGGTAGTCTTTCTGTTAGTATCGGACACACCGCAAGTCGATACATAACATCCCCCAACCCTATTGGATTCATAAAGTAGACCAGAATCAAATTTTATTTATTAACTTTTCAGATATAACCATCTAAACAAAAAAAATTTATTTTTTACTTGTTGCACTTTGTATTTTAACAAGCGGGTTATTTAATGTATCATTGGCTTGGGAGGAAGTTCAAGATGTTGCTGGAAATACAACGTAATTGAAAAGCTTATTTGACTCTAAACTGAGGGGGTTGAGGTCCTGATTTGGTGATTCGACATCTTAGCTCCAGGAGCTAGTTCCCAATCTCATGCCCAAAACTTTTGAAGGGAAAGTTAGATTCCGAGAATTCATTGTCTAACTATTAATGAATAAATTTGGCCTAATTTTTAAGAGAATTTTTAAATTTTTACAATTTACTTGCCTAATAATTAATTAGGCGTCCAAAAATATAATCTGTATTCACTTTAAATGTTGCTTCTTCGAAAGTTAATAAGTTATTATTAATTATTAAGTTTTGAATAATGAATATTATGTAAAAAGACTAGTGTATCATATAAAAAACTAGTTTCATTGTAGCGCGTCATAATTCTAAAGACTTAATTTTTTCAGTAATTTTTCGATAATATCGAAAAAAATATCGAAAAATATCGATATTTTCGATGAAAAATCGTATCGAGCCGATCTTTAATTTTTACTAAAAAAATTTTTTTCAGTTTCAAAGTAAAATGTAACGGAATAACTTCAACTCTTCACCATAATTCTATTTATTTTATGAGTATCAGTCTATTTTTTGAAATTTTTAGTGCAGCTATTTATGTTATAATTTGGTATTTACTGCTGCATGGAATGAGAAATAATTGTAATAAATTTATTTTTTTTTGATAAATTAAAAGTTGTATGGGTAAATTTAAAAGCATTAAAAATAGTGCTCGTAACTTTGTATGAAAAATTTTTGTCTGAAACTATTTCTATAATTTTAAAGTAAAAATTACACAAGTCCGCAAGTCTAAAACCTATTGCGGACCAAATCCTCTCGATTAGGATTGTCTGGTTCAACAAATTTTTAAGTTAGTTGAAGCTGCAACGACAAGATTAAGCGATAATCTTTGGATTTTCTGTTCAGTTTTTGTGTTTAGTTTTCTGAACACATACCCATATTTTAGAAAGATTTCAGCAATAGTTTAGCCACCGGGCAGCATTTGAACCTGCAACCTCCTGACAGTTATTCAGAGTTTCGATATCTGCGGATTTTTCCTCATTTTGTGGTTTTTTGATAGGGCAATGAAGATTATAATTAAAAATGCGGATTTCGGATTTTTGTGGTCTTTTGAAGATTATGAGGATTTTTTATATTATCTTGTAGTTTTTAGTATAAAATATCATTATTTTTCTGCCAAGATCTTCTAATACTGGAGCTTTACCACTGAGTTACCGGTGCATCGTCTAATGCTTTCTCGTTTATTTTTAAGTCGCTTAACCCCCGCCTAAGCGTTTTAAATGCTCTAGGTGATGTTAACAAGGAATAAATTAATTTTCTAATTAATTAAGTGTCAACAAGACGTTTATTTAAATCATTACTAAGTATTTTGCTTGTATCCTTGTTCGGCTTTACATTTTATACAAATTACTATTTATTTACCAAAATTATTGGAATTCCAAATTTTTGGGATCCAAGTGACACAGCTGTAACTTATATAGTTTATCAACTGGCTAATCATTTTGCTTTAATTGCTTGTTGTGCAAATGCTGTTATTTTATTTAAATTTAGGTATGTTCGGGGGTTAGGGTTAGTTGAGCATCACCTCATTTGATCAACTATAACTTTTGCTGCTTAAGCCACTGCAAATGATTCATATTCATTCGAAAGCCCTCGATAAGCGCTATCTTTTTTACAATTGGATGAATAAAGTTTGATCGCTCTTTAAAATGTTACAAGTTGATAAATGTGAAAAACAACCATTTCTTGCACTTATCGACTTATAATTTTTAACCGTTGATCAGACTAGATCCATCCAGTTGGGATAAAGATTGGGCTCATAGAGGGTTTTCAATGTTTAGGAATGTTGAGAAAATGAAATTTCTTCGGGTCGGAAAAAATTTTGGACTTCGAGTTACCAACAGTAATGTCAAAGTTCCACTTCCAGTTCCGGAACTAATTTGTTCTAGTTGTTCCGAAACTAGAACTACGGAACTAAGATTATCTGAAACGAGTTTTGAATTAGAACTACGGAACTAGTAATTATTGTGATAAATCCTTTCATATTCAAAAATTTAACAATTTGGAACTAGAACTAGGTTGGAACTATTTCCTGAACAATTTTGGAACTTTGACATCACTGGTTACCAACACACTTTTGGTGTTATTTCGTAATATTGTTTGAATTTCATCTTCAAACATCCAAAAATTAAAAGAGCGTTGAAGTTGCAGCTACATAAATATAAACAGAACGTTAATATATTAAATTATGAAATAATCTATTATTTAATATTTTTAAAATTTAATAATTCTTCTAATTTCTAGTTGTGAATATCGCCGAGCATTTCTTAAATATATTCCAATACATAAGCGTTATGTTAAAGATTTAAATAACAAAAATGGAATAAATCAAATTAAGGTAAAATATTCAATTTATTTTTGAACTTACATTTACATTCAAAAATATTTACCAAAATAGATAACGAAACTTTTTATAAATAACTCAAAACTGTGAATTATATAAACATTTGAGTTCACAAGTAATTTCTGAAGCTGTGCAGTAAGCGACTTTGTTAAGAGTTAGTTATGAATTCCCACAATCTACATATCCCTTTAAAAGTCTTGGGTATGTCACCGGGTTCGGATCCTAGAATTAGGGAATATTGCCTGAAGCGCTATGTTTGCCTGAAGCGCTATGTTTGCAGCCCGACCTCTACCCTGAACAATTTGAGCAACCCCGAAAACCCCGCCCCCATACTTTTTCAACCCCGAAGGCTCGGGGCGTAACTCTTTATTAAACTAATAAATTATTTTCAGCCTATTCAACAAAAGATTGGTTGGTTTATATATTTTTTATTAATTAATTTATTTAAAATTTAGTATCAAAAATTAAAGTGGGTGCTGACTTTAATTTAATGAAAAATGAAGGAATAAATAATTTAAATTCTAAAATTATTTTTAAAAGAAATAATAGTGATCCTTAAATTTTTGAGTAAAAATATTTTGACATTTTTTATTTTAATTGTCGTACATATATGAATAAATAAATGCCCTTTCTTTCCATGTACGCTTTCTTTCCAAAAAAAACCTAGAATATATATGTACAACAACAATTTTGATAGTTTTATGATGATTTATCGTGCAGAATTTTGGGGATTAAGATCGATAATAAAAATACTCGAATCGGTCTATGGAAATTTGGGATATTGCTATGAAAAACAAATGAGAATTCAAAAAATTTAAAAAGATCAAAATTGAAAAAGAAAAATAGCCTAAGGATTTGTTTAGGCTTCAAAAAAATAAAGCTGGTCAGGACATCGTACAATAGCAAAAACCATGTGACTTTAGTTACTATTAAATATCATAAAAATAAATTTAGGATATTGAGCATTAAAATTTTTAAATCTTATTATGAGAATTCGGTATTTAATTAAAAATATTGGATCCGATCCTTCGGTTTAACGGGTAGGTGGGGAAGGAAATTCGATAGTAACGAGGGGAGGCGCAGAATTTACCGAATTCTATATAAATCAGCTTAGGGAGAACTTGATTAGATCAACAAATATTTTATTAAGGCATTCAACATATATAGGGTTAAACAAATAAATTCAAATTAAAAATAATTGGAAAAATAAAACAAGAATTATTTAATTTATTTCTCCATTCTTTCAAGACTGATCTTCCCAAAGTGTTAATTCCATTAGTTGTTAAAAGGGCGGGAAAATATGGGAAAAACAATAAAATATAAATGAAGAGATAAATAGTGGGGAAGGGATATGATTAAATGGGGAAATTAAAGTTTAAGGGGAACGGTATCAAGTTCCACTTTACATTATCAACAACATCGAGATGATAAACCTAAAATGACATAGATTAAGATTATATTAAAAAATATATGATTTACCGTATTTGCTCTAATTGAATGACAGTCATTCTATTTTTCAATACCCCATAAATTTGTCATTCAATTAGAGGGGTCATTCAAATTGAGCGGGTCATTTTATTTTTCAATAGCCTCAAAAATGGGCTATTTAATGGACTATATTAAATGGGCCAAATAGAGGAGTCATTCAATTAGAGCAAATACGATATTTTATAATTGTTATTATTAGAGTTCTATTGTTTGGTATAAGCAAGATTATAAGTTAGCACTTTATATAACGTTTGTTAACAATGAGCATTGATACTGTTCAAGCTTCCAAAAAATATAGAAACAACATATCTCCTAAGGACAATATCTCCAAAATATTTCAAGTACTTATCAAACAAAAAATTCAATTAATTAATATTTATGATCCGCTAATTTGACATTTTTAAATTGATACATTAAATTCACACAAGAACATCCAAGAATTAAATTATTTTTAAGAAGTTTTATGGTAAAATTTCTGGTTGTATGAAAGCTGTTTTATCATGTTTCACTGCCATGGAAAGAAATGAAGATGTGCTTTTTCAATCTTTTAAGGGTTCGCCAGTAGATAATGAAGTGTGCTACGTTTTGTGCCAAAATTCGAACAAAAGAATTTCTTTAAATAATTGAAAACTAATTTAAATAAAATTTTCCTATCATTTTAATAAAAAATTTTTTATTCAAATTTAAACATCGAGTAGAGTGAGAACGTTCAATAATCCAATATCTACCAATTTCCAGAACATCTTTAAGAGAAAAAGCTGGTTAGTGGCGATTATTGGATATTGGAACAGAATTTTCTTTTTCTACTATTTTCGACGTTACACAAGAAGTCGAAATTATATTCATAAAAATCCAATCTAAACAATATTTAAATTAAACACAAAAGGTTAAAAAATCGAAAAAGAAAAATTGCCTAAGCATTTGTTAGGCTTCCAAAAAATAAAGACGAATGGAAAAAAGAACCAAAAAGCATGTTTCATTATGATAATATTAAATATCATAAAAGTAAATTTAAAATATTCTGCATCTGAAATTTTTACATTTTAAGATGAGAATCCGAGATTAGGTAATTAATAATATCTTCCTATTGAATCAGTTATGAATAGTTTGTTCTCACATCAAAAATCCAGTGCCAACAACAAACAACATCACTTACATTTTTTCGGACGCTGGCAATTGAAAAAAAAATAGCCTAAGAATTTGTTTAGGCTTACAAAAAATAAGGCGGCCACAACATACCGCGAAGGCAAAGCATGAACGTGTCATTAGATTATATTAAATATCATATTTAAAATTAAATTTAGAATACTGAGCAAATATGTAAAATCTTTTAATTTTATTATAAGAATTCGAGATTTATTATGAGAATCAGGCCTGGCTAAAATAATTTAAAAAATTCGTTTATTCAAACAAAAAATTACAAAAATAAAATTAATTAAAATGGTGTTGTTGCAATTGCATAGTAAAATACATTGGAGGGGCAGACGGTTCTGGCTGAATATTTTTAATACAATTTTTATTATTTAATTTTTCAAAATTATTATTTTTATGGCTTGGATGTTGCTGTTCTTTTTTGCCATCAAATACCCGCTTTTTAATTTTATTGTTTGGCACAGATTCGAGGGTTGAAGACTTTCTCTTTCCTTCACATTTTTTGTTATTTTTAATTGAAAGATTGCGAAGAGGGGAAAAACTGGAAGCTCTGGAAGAAGATTCTTTTTTTGCCTTCCGTCCAGTTTTTCCAATCTAAAATTTATTATCAATTTAGTAGAAAAAAGAAGTTTAAAGAAAATACACACAATATTTTATTTTTTATTTTTATATTATATATAAGTGTTTTGAATTTCAAATTTATTCAATCCTTGATGATCAGTATAAACGAGATTACTAGATTTTTGTAAGCCACGAAATAATCTGGCTAAAATATCTTGGAACTTAAATTAGTTTGGAAGTCTAAACTTTTAATTAGACGTAAAAGGTGCGGTTGGACGCCTAAGTTGAACTAGAGCCGAAAAAATTTAGTATTTACCTTCCATTCAAGTTTGCCAGCTTTAATTGAAGTACCTAATTGGGCTGCTTCCTCATCATTTCTTAAAATTACACAATATTATATTTTCCTCTAAATATATACTTTGGTGTAGGAGGTGGTTTGACTTTGGGTGGTGAACGTGGAGGGGAACATTTATTAAGAGGAACAATAACTTCGGCTTTTTCTCCTTGTCTTTGAGCATTTTCTGTTGTTTGCCTTTTGTGTTGTTCTCCCTTAAAAATTTGGTAATTTCCGCAATTGTCCAGTACATGCTAAGTTGTTAGTCTGAGTACTTTCCTT